ACCTCTTGCTTGTTTTCTGTCGAATTATCCAGTTGTGATAGGTCGACGTGTAGTATGTCACGCTGATCCTCTGTCTCCTGAATCTCCTTCTTGCTTTTTTCTAATGCTTCCTCATCAGTTATCCAACCTGTGGGAGGAGGCATTATTTTTGGAGGTGACCCATACTTCTCAGAGCGAGGCACTCTCTTCTTCCTTTTGGGTGTCCCGTACAGTACGTAGAAATCGAAAGGACGCCCAGATGGCTCCCCCAATAAGTTTACTTAGCGGACTCCTTCTTGATGTAGTTGCTTAAACAGAGTATTGCGTGATACTCCTCTCTTTTTCCTTTCTGCTTCTAGATCAATTTCTTCTTCAATGTCTGTCATCCCATCGTCCTCTTCATCGTTGTAGGCCTCTCCAGAAGTCTAGCCTTCTGCACACACCAGCACGCAGACTTCTCCTTCGTTGTCCTCCCTCTCTTCTTCTTTTTCCTTATTTTTGAACTCATTGGCCAGTAGGTAATTATTGGCCATGACAGGAGGCAACGTACCGAATTGGATAGCAAGGGGCTCATCTGGATCTTCTTCATCCCTTTTGTCTCTCTCAAACCTTGATCTCCCAGAGGAGGTCTCTGGCAGTTCTTTCATTGATTCATCTGTACCAGTTTCTTTATTGCCCTTTAGGACGTTTTGATTGGCTACCTTGAGTAGTAGAGGTGCTTTAGGGTGTGGCATTCCTTGTTGCTGCCTCATCATCCGTCCGTAATTTCGCTGGAAACGCCTTTGTTGAGTCCTGGTCATCTCATCGAAGGGTATTGCTCTTCCTGCAGTGTATTGGAATGAATGCCATACATTTGGCCGGCGAGGTTGCGGCCTAAATGTTCTTCCAACATCTGTTGGTCTGAACTGCCTTTCAAAAGGCGGTCCTCTATAGAATGATGTACCTCGTCCTCTACCAGGCTGAACGTTTGGGAAGAAAACAGGGCGACGAGGATGCTGCCATGTCTCTGGTTTCTTCGTGTTTCCATTTACTTCCCGTTTACATCTTGCACACAGGACGTCTTCGTCCTTTTTTGGTTCTTTTCCTTTGATACGTTCAAAGACGCTGGGATGTGGCCTAGGATCTTCTTCTCCGTCATCTATGACTAACTTGAATTTTGGTAACTTGTTCTTGAATCCAGATGTTACCATGTTTACCCCAAGTGGCTGTGGGAAAGGATTCTCGTCCACTGCCATCTTTTTCTTATCGTCGAACGTAATTCGTCCTGACTCAATAGCATCCTGCAATACGTGACGAAAAACCAAGCAATTGTTAGTCAAATGTGACCATGCATTATGCCACTTACAATATTTTTTACCCTTTATTTGTTCAGGGTTTGGCAATTTGTGCTTATCGCTCAGCTTTATTTGCTTATCCCTATATAACTTATCGAATATAAGGTCAGCTTTGGTTACATCGAACGAGAACGTTCTAGCCTTTATGTTTCCATCCTTTATGGGCTCATCTTTGCCCGATGGTCTAGGCTTGGCCATTATGGGACAAGTATATGTATCCCCTTTTCCTAATTCGGCCAAACACATTTCGGCCTGATCGTACGATTCATCATCGATGGTATGAACGTCAAAATTTGGGTCTTTGTAATAAGTCCCTTTGCTAGAATTTTTCATTTGTTCTTCTTCTCTTATCAATCGCTCATACCTAATGACATTCGCACTCAACTGGAAAAGGTCTGGAAATTCCTTGTCTTGGAACTTCTTTTTTAAATCAAAGCTCAAGCAGCCTTGTGCGATCTTGACAAATTCTTTTTCAGGTAAAGATACAAAACACTTGCTTCTTGCTGTTTGAACCTTTGGAGAAAACTTTCTGCCCATTCATTTGGCATTTGACGTAGATTCGCCAAATCAGCCAAAGTGACTTCAGATTCAGTTTTGTAAAACTGAGCATGAAACAACTGTTCCAGTTGTTGTCATGTTTGAACAGAGTTCGCTGGCAAGTTAATGAACCAGGAGAAAGCTACTCCTGTTAACGAACTAGAGAAAAGTCTCATTTTATGGTAATCGGTTACATCACCACTTTGCAACGTGAATCGCCCTATGTGTTCTAGAGTAGACACCTCTCCTAAACCAGTAAACAGTGAGAATTCTGGCACTTTGTACCCTCTAGGCCATGGATATGCTTGGTCTACCCAATCAGGATATGGCTTTGTGTAAGTCGGTCTAATGACAGGACGCACCCCAAAGGCCATCTGATCCTGCACGATTTCCATAATCTGATTTCTCAACATGACATTGGGATCATATGGAATTCCTACAGGCTGATTAACCGGTTGATTTGCATGAGGTCTGATGTTTGGTCCTTGATTGGCAACAGAATTACCATAATTAGGGCCATTACCATTAGCCTGGACATCTACCCCCTCGTTACCACGTGGAATATTCTGTCCACTGTTTAGGACATTATCTCTCACGTTTGGATTACCCCCCAAGTTAGGCATACCACTACTACTACTTTGATTTGGTATTGTAGCACCTCCTTGGTTTGAAATAGAGGGGCCAGAAAGTGGTTCTACCCCTTGACTTGGATTTGGGACCGAAGGATTATGTCCTACGATCGTCCTAGTTTGAAAGTGA